GAGTGAGCACAGTATCATGGGAAGAAGAACGGCACGACCAAAAGAGAGGAAGAAAAAACACAAAAAGCAAACCAAAATTAGAAGCTAAGCAAATACTGCTACACTAGTGCTTCATATATGCAAAGGCATGAAGAAAGCTGAAGTGGTCTGGCAATCAGCAGAAACCTAACAAATTCCACAATGTGATGATGTTTTCTCTATTTTCAGCTGTTTTAAAACTTGAACTCTCAAAAGTTTAGCAAATAATTATGTATTAAAATACTAATGTAATTCTGCCTTAAAATTATGAATAATTAAATACTAAAGTGATGCCAGTTTGCATTTGTCAGTTTAATTTAAATGCTGCTAACTCAAAAGAATTGTATTTATCATAGTAGGTGGCTTTGACATGAAAATGGATGTCTTTAGGCCAAAACGCATGTAGTTTTCCCCACCCTCAGTGATACCTTTCAGACCTTGTACAGTGTGACGAACAGCACCTTCCCAAATGCTTTCCTTAAAGTCATTCAGGACTATTTTAGATTGAACCACCAACCAAGCAGTATGTATGTGAAATTTCCCAAGTTTCCCTTGTTGGTCTATGCAGGTAGAAAATGGAGAATCCTGTGATTATCCATGAAATGTATTTCAACAAGTCTTTTTGCGAACTGATGAAGAAGATTTATTTGTTGCAATACATCCCAAATGTTAAAATCTGAGATAGCAGTGAAATTTATTACCTATAAATATGTGAAAATTGTTTGAATTTAGATGTTCCCAGGTGATTTTGTTTGCATTACTAATGCAGCTATACATAAGCATACATCGGCTGCATATGTAGCAGATACCCTCTAAATGCTTTCAACATACCAAAACCTACTAATTTTAAAAAATTACAAGTTCCAAACTTTCTCAATATTGAACAAAACAGGGTGGAGATTTTGTCTGCATCAATAAAAAAGGGAAAGCCTTGATATTTCCATTTTGTATCTCATGTAAGGAAGACAGCATGTATTTACTGGTTTTAGTAGATAAACATAAGCTTATCAGTAGTTCCTGTAAGAAATCTGAAATGCCATTTTAATATTTAGCTATTATTTGATTACTCAATTTACATCATGAACGCATATTAAACTGGGCTTTTCAACCCAGCAGCGTAACAAGAGAGCACATAAAGATCCATAGGACATGGGGAAATCAGTAGCTACCAGTATAGCACGCAATACTAAAAGCAGGCAATATTTACACCCTTTAACTAGGGAGGGGTTTACATTCTGCTTTACATTTGAGTGTTCCTGCTTACCAACTCTGAATTTAAACCAAAGTAAATTGCAAAAGATTGCTTCTGGAACGTCAGGTTCCTTGCATTCTATACAAAGCAGTCATTTCTATTAAACAGTATTTCTGTGTGTTCGTATCTACATGCATGCATAGGTGCACACATGCAGAAAACATACTGTGGCCTTACGGATAGTAACTGGAGGAGGAAGAATGGGGAGAGAATTGTTAAGCTGTGTAAAAGTACTTGGAGGGGGAAAGCTGCATCTTCCTATACTTTCTATTCAGAAACTATTAGGGATGCCAGTTCAAGTACTACATTTTAATATCAGTATATTTCAGGATTATTTACAGTGGCAGGAACTGTGCTGATGTGTTGAGCTTGTGGGCTACTCTTTGAACAGCTGTTAAGGACATAGCTCACTGTTTGACTATGATGAACTTACTCTCATACATAGATTTACCCATCTTCCCACTGATTAAATTAGAGTATGCTTACTATTTTCAATTTTGAACAAATAGGGACTTGAGTTTTCTTTACTAATCTTAATTTTGAGAACAGCCTAGAGGTAATGCAGTGCTTTGGAAAAAAAAAGTGTGGGAGTTGCAGAAGTAGCAAACAATTCAGAATGATCTCGCTACATGACTACGTGGACTGCCATGCTTCTAATTATGGTAAAGCATGGTAAATAGCATCGTTCTGTTCTATAGAAAATAAAACATGCTTTATAATTCAAGTGTCATTCTGAAGATAAGCATTCCTAGCTTTGAACCTAAACAAACCCGTGAAACTTACAACTCAACTATGAGCTTCATGTTCAAACCAGCAGCAATAAAATCCATTTGCACCGACATTCAAATGGGAAACTACTGATTGAAAACATTAACACAGAAGCAACAGAAACAGCTGCATGGACAAAGCTGTTACAGTGAGACACACAAAGCAAACTTTTATCCTGCTTTGAATCCTCTAGACCGATGTGTGATCATTACTTATGCATACTACACCTTAGAAACAGTAACAAATAGCTTCCTGCTCCTGAAGAGGAGAAAGGATAGAATGACTCCAAATCACTTCTGTGTCCTTCCAATCGTTAACAGTCTGTAAAGGTTTGGTAACACAGTCTGGTAGGCCCAAATCATGGCAGTCCCTGTGCTGCTGTATAGACAGACCACTGTGCTGCTTAGATCTTTATAGCTCCAAGAGCTATCCTGCAGGTGACATGCTATTTATCATTTAATTGCTGGGCTTTGCCATTCAGTAGCCTCTGAGGTGACAAATTACTTGAATGAAGGAGTCTTCCAAGAGTGAGACGACTTCCCAAATTTAGGTATTGCCGTATATAAATATGTGTACCATGGCTATTAAGGAAATGGCAATATGATACTATTTTCAAGTGAGAAAAGTGTCTGCAATACAGTTGCCCATGCTCTAGTAAAAACTGACCTACACTAGGAAAAAAGCAGTCAAATAACATGCAGGTCTGCCTAAAAATAATCAACATAAAGTTGAATTTGAAAAGAAACTGCAATCGAGACAACAAACAGCCTGTTGTAACTCAGGTTTTTCACACATTCGGCTAATGCTTATTAAAAAGTATTAAAAAAGCATGTTATTACTATGATAAACAATGTTCTTGTTAAATTAAAGAAAAAAAAAGAAAAATAAAAACCTCAAAACCAGGCAACAACTCAGAAACAACTTAAGGGCAACCATGGGCAGGAACACCTCCCGCTAGACCAGGTGGCTTAAAGCCCTGTCCAACCTGGCCTTGAACACTTTAACCTAAATCTAACTCTTTCAGTTTCAAGCCATTACCTCTTGGCTTAAAGTGCTTTTTTACTGCTTTACCTGCAATGACTTGCAGAGTTGCAGTAAAAAATACTAATGGTTAAGTGTTCTTTTTTCCTAGGCAGACTTGAGGTTTTGTTTTGCAAATAGATACAAGGTTGAAGCTTCAGCTAGAGGTCCACTGCAAAGCTACCCAAATGAATCAAACGTTGTTTGTTCAGCAAGTGGAGTACGTCCCAGAGTTTTTGCATATGCCCCTTTTAATTAACACTTGATGAAACAAAGGCATGATATGGAAATAAAAGCTAACTTATTAGTTAAATGTAACAGTTTTTATCCTGAATGAATTTATAGCTATTAAGGGAAAGATGAAGCTGTTACTAAGTGGCAAGTAAAGTAATCATAAAATATCCTCATTTTAACAAAAAATACAAAATTGGTTAAATGTATGTTTTTACCACCATAACTTGCACCAAGGGAAACTAGTTTGAATTACCGTGCAAGTATATTTTATGAGTATACACAAGAAGGATGGAAAACTGCTTATTTGTGAATTAGGCTACTGATGTGTTGAACAGCAAAGCAATAGTTATTTTTATCTACAGATATGCAGAAAGATGTGCTGTTGAACAGAGGACAGATGCAGAAACAACTGCAGCACAGCTTCCTGCTCCATCACACGGTACACAACTTATGTAAGCCATTTGTAATTTCTAATGCAACAGCATTATCTGAATTGCTGTTTTTAAAAATAAACTCTAGTTTTAAAATGGTGTAAAAAAAAGCTTAGATAACACTTACCTCAAACATTCTAGCAGCTGTACATCGAACAAGAGCAGAAGTATGGACAACTCCATACCATAAGACTGTTAATAGCAGCTCATGATAAGCTGGGTTTGCACTAAAAGAAAACAGTTGGGCAATCAAAAAAAAAAACCCGAATCCCAAAGAACACAGCACAGCCAAAACCTCCCAAACCTTGAATATGATCTCTGCCTATAGTCTCTAGAATCCATTGCTCAACAAATGTAAAACTCCAACTCCTTTCTGAAGGATATATAACATTATCTAATTCTGAAGGACATGCAACATGCTGCTGTCTAGAAAATACGTTGCATTTTGAAGTTCATTAAAAAAATCAACAACTTTAAGAATATAATTTTCAATACAGGACATTGAATTCAGTGCAAATACATATTGAGAATACATCTTACTGCTATGGAAAAGACAAAATTAATTTCCATTTTATTCTCAATGAGTGATTTTTGCAGGTTTGTTGCTTTTGTTTTGTTGCTTTTTGTTTTACACTTCTGAATTTTTTTTACAACTACATTTTTAATCTCGAGATTAAAAGTTTAAATTTTGTGAAACACTGAGGAAAAAAAGCAAGTATGCTCTTTTTTCACCCAAACCATCACAGTTATTACAGACAGATTAGCAGCTTTTCATAAAAACTTCTGATGTATTTAGATCTAGTCAACTCCAAGGTATATTCTTTACCCCAGTTCCACAAAGGAAGCTTTGAGGCTATCAAGAGGAGCATGGGATAGTGAAAGCATGGTCATTACATCTTCTAAGAATCCGACTAACAGCTTGCGGTCTTCTTCCTGAAAAATAGCGTACAACATTAAAAGCAGTAGCAGTATTGCTGTGTCTTTGATGACCTACAGCTAAAAGAGAGGCAGACTTCAAAATGAGAACAAACTGGATATAACCTTTAACAATCTTCTTATGAACTTCAAAAATGTGGTTTCAAGTACAAGAACCTTTCAAAGTAAACACAAGACAACACTGTATTCCTGTATTTCATCAACTAAGCACATAGTTTTGCATAAGTTACCCAAAGTGTTTTACTAAATAAACTTTTAAGAAGAGCACTTAATCACTTTCATGGCTCCTGCCAGTTTGTGATTGCTCACAGTCCTCTCAACATCTGTGAGATGGTGAAGTATGTATTTTTTCCTGTAAGCTATGTATATGCCAGTCCATAACTGCTGATCACTGAAGGATTAGGTAGCATTATTTATGGAGTGTTTAATACTAGGTAACACTGAAATGTTAAGACTCCAACTATGCTGCCCAAAATGGAGATTTACTTGCTTATCTGTTCCATCTATTTCAGTAAATTTTTCTAAGTTACGTTTGCAGGGGTCAGAGTTAAATGGCTGAGAAGCCATTTATGGCATATCGTTAATAGTCTGGATAGAGGCACATGGCACTATTAAATGTAGTGGACAACCTTACAAGAAAACTTGGCTTTTAAATGTGTTTACAGCTGCCCACTTTACCAGGTATCTTGAAAGCACAAGAACACTGTAAGTTTTCAAAGAAAACAGTAAAGGGGTTTTGATAGAATATTTATTTCATATTATTATACATTTAAAGAAACAGAAAAACAAACTTACCTGAATATAACATGTAAGGACCCCTGTTGCATAGATGGGAACTGTGGCTTTTGTTAGCACTCCGTTACCTGCTGTGGAATCTAATGAAACACAATGAAGAATTCAGGTTTCATATATACATATATGTGTATATGTGTGTGTGCAATATATACTATATATTTTTTATATATATATATATATATATA